AACACTAAACTACACATGGTACATGAGCTTACAGTGTTTGGTCTGTACAGATGTTTTATGCTGCGTGAATGAAGTCTAATGACTCAACAGGTAATTCAATAAATGTCTGAAACCTTTGTTGATAAGCAGCTTTCTATTTTATTTTTTTCACCCCATCAAAGAAAGTTTCAAAGCAAAGTGGGAAAATAAAATGCATTTAAACTGCCTGCTTGTGGCAGTGCGTTTTAGCTTCCTTCTATTAATTTCACTCCTGGAACTGACAGCTACGAACATTGTCAACCTGGAGAAAAATTGTGTCCTTGAAGTAATGCCTTATTTCTTCCCTAACACCCCCCACCCAATCAGTTCTGGGTGCAATAGTGGGATTATTTCACCTGCAGCCTTATTTGATGGAAAAAACACAGGTAGACTTAGAGGTTGAAAGCTCTATATTAGCATCGCTGTATCTGAGCATACACAATCTTATCTGGGGCACATGGCGTGGCGGCCCCCATCAATGGGTAGGTTGACTCCAGTGATGAAGCTGGCAGCATCGGACGCCAGGAAGGCAATGCTCTGGGCGACTTCTTCCACCTCTCCTGGTCTGCCGAGGGCATGAGTCTGCTTACACTTCGCAAGAAACTGGTGGTGAGAAAGGTAGAATAAGATTTTTTTGTGTATGTTACATAAAAGAAATGGTTTGGGATGACTTGTAACACTCACGCCAGGCTAGAACTGAGCACAAAAGATAAAAATATAGAGGACATGACCTCGTTGTCCCCGATGGTAGCTATGGGCCTGTGTCCAGTGCTTGTTTACAGAACCTCTGAAGGAATACATTTTTGTGACATACAGTATTGACATGATGGGTTACCTGGGCATACTGGTCCTCATCTAGTCCTGCTCTCTTGTGGACATCTGTGACGATCACACCGGGGCTGAGGAGTAGCGACAGGAGCCGGGATACAACATATGGTACATTGTAAACGGTCATTTCCAGCAGAAACAACTGATATCAATGCTTTTAATATCAGAAATTCACAGAGTATCAGAGGTCAACTACTGAACACAATAAAAAACAAAATAGTTTTCCACAGAAACACTTACCAGACAGAGTTCACTCTGACTTGCTTACACGCCAGTTCTGGAATAAAAGAGATGTTATTTATATTGTGAACAATGCTGAACAATACAGTACAAGGAGTAAAATGGCTCACTCACCAAGTGCTATACAACGCGTGAACTGATCAATGGCCGACTTGGACATACAATAGGCCAGCACACCAGGGAACTACAGAGAGAAAATAGTGTGTCGCAATTCTTAAAGACATGTAGCTGAAAATATGTGAGCAGCTGCTGAATACCCACTGATCTCTGCCCGTTGATGCTGGATACATTGACGATAGAGCCCTTGGTCTTGATGAGGTGGGGAACACAGAGTTGAGTCAGGTGGTATACAGATCTGGAATATGAAACAAACGTTAGGGGACATACTAAGTAAAATATACTATACTATATTCAGGAGCCATCTCATCTGTCAGATCCCAGCTGCTGTGCACTCAGCACTGACCTGTCTCTATGATGTTAGGATGCGAGGTGAGATCCTACCTGACGTTGATGTTCATGACCTTGTCGTACTGAGCCAGGTCTGTCGTCTCGATGCTGCCCATGGCCAGGATACCGGCACTGTTAACCAGGACGTCCAGCCGGCCGAAGTGAGCGATCGTATGCTCCACAGTCTTCTTCACCGTCTCTTCATCGGTGAGGTCTCCGGGAACGAGCAACGGCTAAACACACGCACGTTCATGTTTTTAAAATTGTGTTTTAACTTTAAGGGCATTTTTTGCACATTCACGCAATACTGAACAAGCAACTTCACTACTTTCACATTCTCATTCAAACATTCAAATATTCAGCTGAATTGGGAATTGCGTGCTCGCTTCTGATTCATACCGCTCATAGTTTTTTGAAATATCCCAGGTTTTCCTCATGCAAAATAATGGACGAAATGTTCAAAAGTCACACATATTCTTATCTACTTATTCATACTTTCAATTAGAAACTTGCTTTAAATGTTCAACATCTTTTATACATTTTGGGTATAAATAATAATTTCAAATCCCATTAAAACGTTTTAAAATATTAAACTTACAATGGAAGAAACCTTCAAACCAACTCATCTTCCACCTCTTCCTACTCATTCACACATTCATATACGAAGTCCATTCCAACTTTATAATGTTCATGACACATGGGACTTTAATTATTACTTTAATTTAAATTTTTTCAGTGAGTGGAGAGGAGCTTTAGAAATCTTAAATATTTCTCTTCAACTTGGACTCATTCCACAAATAAAGTACACATTAAAACTTAGGAAAATTTGTATCAGTATAACTATGGAAGCAAAAGAACCTACACTTTTGGCTCCATGAGCCTCTATGCACCATATTAAAAGAGAAACTTTGCTATTTTTCACCCTGCACCATATTTTCCCAAGTGCTTGTGCCTAAGTGACTAATGGGGACAAATTTTTTTTTTAACTGCTCCAGTATGAAGCAAGAGCACTGCAGTCAACAGCTGTGAAACAGGCTGCAACGTAATTATTCAGGGCAATTGCACACCGTCCATGCACATCCACTAAAAGTGCACGTTTTGGCTCTCTTAGCTTTATACTGGTCCTTGTTGATAACCCATTTTCTACCCAGACATTTCCGCCACATTTCCATCAAACATACAGTTAATCCACTGGGTCTTCACTTCCTCAGCTGGTGGGAGTAGAAGACTTTCGTGTTGGTTCTTAACTAATTTTTTGTTTCAGTGCAGATGAACTGCTCCTCGCCTTTAAAGTGAACAAGATCAGGTGGCAGCAGCAGGAAGGGGGGACAAAAAGCTGCAGTTAAGTCGGACAGTTTCCAGCAGCTTTAAAAAACATATACAAAAATGTTTGCATCCTGTTGGATCATCTGTAGCACATGACCTGATGTATAAATAAACTTTATTATTATTATTATTATTATTATTATTATTATTATTATTATCAACCACACAAGATATGTTTGTTAACTGATTAAACAACTATTGTACAGCATGAGACACAAAGCAACTTACAATCTAGAGTGAAATATTAAAATCACACGGAAAACAAGGGAAAGTGGAGTTTGTTGTAAAAACAAAGAGCCAATCAGCTCTTGTGCAGGCCTGGCTCATCTGAGCCCACCTCCCTTTGGCATGGACTTTGGGTTGTGTCACTTTTCAGACCTTTAACATGCACCAAAAAAATCTATATAACATACTAAAGCACAGGGGGAAACTCCAAAAAGCATAATGAACAGGAGTATCCATTTGACTTACATTTAAAATAGTTTTACCCCAAAGTGCAATGTTCCTAAATATCCTTACAGATATAAAGGCTACATTCTGATTTATATCCCATACCAACCTAATCTGTAATTGTATGTAATATTGTATGTAGGCATTTATCATGCCAAACTCCATTCAACAAACTACTGATTATAGGTGCAGAATCTTAATAATGTTTTCCGACTTTACCTGGTCTACAAGCTACATTCAAAAACACCTGTGCACAGTGTAAACAGTGTGTGTGTGTGTGTGTGTGTGTGTGTGTGTGTGTGTGTGTGTGTGTGTGTGGTACCTCGGCAGCTCCACAGTCGGTGCACTGTTTGGATATCTTGTTGAGGTTTTCCACGTCGCGGCCGTTCAGAGCCAGCACAGCTCCCAGTTTGGCGAACAGGACGCTGGTTCCTGCCCCGATCCCTGAGCTGGCCCCTGTTATCAGGGCCACCTTCCCCTTTAGGGAAGACACCTACAACACACACACACACACGCACACAAACGCACGCACACGCACACGCACACGCACACACACACACACACACACACACACACACACACAGTCATTTAATGAAACAACAAACGACAGTCAGAATGAAACCGCGTCCAACTACGTGCAACAGAGTAAACTTACTTTAAAAGAATCGTCTGCGGCCATAGTTTAACGTAGATGTACTTTAAATGAAAGTGGTACAGTTAGAGTCCTCCGATACACAGCCAGTGTGACACGCTTCGTCCACTAGTGATGACGCAGTTTGACGTATCAGGTACTAACTGATTTGTAGTTCATAAATGACTACAACACAGCTTCTTGTCCAGACCATTGACTATATGCACTACTCACACAAAGTTAGAGATTTTCGGCTTTCGGATGAAATTTCAGAATGTACATAAAATACACTATAACCTCTCCAGGTGATCTTAATTTGACCTTCTACTTAAATGCCCTACTTTCATGCTATAATATCACTGTAGCATCAACTTTTTACATTTTCCATAGATTTCACCCGAAAGTGGAATATCCCTAACTTTTTGTGAGTAGTGTATATATGTGTGTGTGATTCCCAACCTGGGGGGCGGGACCCCCGTCAAAGCTTGACTGGGGGTCGCCGGGCCTTCTGGATTTTAAATCATGTAAGAGATCTTTAATAATACACACAGTATACACTATATCCCATCATCCTACATTTTAAAATATGTATGCAGTTATAACGACCTAAGAACTAATAGAACAAGCATCAGGGAGAAGTAAACACTGAATTTGTCAAAAATGAAGCCTGTTAAGTCTGTATGATATATGATACAGACAATTGTATAAAAATATACAACGAATATCAGGAAAGCTAATCTCTGGTGCAATATTCATGGGAAATAATCAGCTCGAAATGCATCCAAATCATTCATTTTACACGAGCTTCCTGCAGTTAGTGTGCACCTTCAGTAATGTACCGTTATCAAAATGAAATATGTATGTATATATATATATATAATATCCATAAAATATGTAATTTAGTTAGAGACCGTTAGTTTAGTTAATGATAGAAAACGGTCGGGAACCACTCTGGACCTCCAGACACACTTTCAGTATCGTGTCATTTAAAGTGGAGACATTTAATATGTACTTTTGCACACAGACAATGTTTCGAATTAATGCTAAAAAACAGAATATATTAATTACAAAAGTTTTATTTAGTACAAAACATTGGGAAAGTCATGGGCTGTGTTCTGCTTTTGAACCAAACAGTGGATGCATGAAGATAAATAGGTGAATAATAACCTATACTTCTTCATTACAGATACTTTGTCACGTCAAACCAAAATTCATAAGTATACATTGCTAGAAACTGAAGAAAGCATACCCCTGAATTTAGCTTTGGGATGCAAAATCTGGCACCACTCCACGGACAGAGATTAATGTGACAAATGACATTTAAATTTTGGGTCATACCTTCAGAAACTGCTGGGATAAAAACATAATCTTGTTAAGAAAACTCAGCAATTACAGTTTCAGACGCAGTGTCCTGTTGAGGTCTGAGGGTGCTCTCCCTCCAATTTATAGCCTCTGACAAGTTATCCACTTTAACTTTGGCAAGCTATTATAAACTGTATCAACTGGCTTATTGGAAACAGCCTGCGTTAAAGGTCTATCTGCATGTTTTGAAGAGAAAGTCGTCTATCCGGCAAAAGGGTTGGCGTGAATGGTCACATCCTTTATCCGGGTTTCAGTCAGTGGCCGGAACGTCTTTTCATTGACGGGCAGCTTCTCCAGTTCATCCAGAGTTTCCAGGCCATCGATGATCCTACAGGTTGAAGAGAGTACAAGGTTAGCGGCAACTAGTAATTATATTCTAATCAATCAATAACTGTCAAGCACACTCATAATGTTTTACAGCATCTCTCTCTCTCTCCCTTATATCCCCATCATTCCCGAATGTTACGTACTTTCCAAACACGGTGTACTTCATGTCTAGATGGGGCTGTTTGGCATATGTGAAGAAAAACTGGGAGCCATTTGTGTTGGGGCCATTGTTCGCCATGGAGACCACTCCTCTCACATTGTGCTGAAGTAAAAGAAGGCAGAAAAAGAAGACAAACACACATTAAAGACGGCTCCCCTGAAAACATCTTCCTGACATAGGCCATGAAGCTTGACTTAGTTGGTACTCACTTTTAGGTGTTCACTGTACTCATCTTCAAATTTGCGACCCCATATACTTGTTCCTCCTTTACCCGTGCCTGTGGTTTAATAAAAAAAAAACAACAACAAACAGGAAGTGAGGATGTAGATTCTCACATTTCAGTGCTTAAAAAGCAGCAGGTGCAACAAGCATGGCCCCCGTACCCGTAGGATCTCCAGTCTGAACCATGAAACCTTTAATATTTCGGTGGAAGATGCAGCCGTTGTAGAACCCACTGGCACACAACGCCAGAAAGTTCTGCCAGGAATAAAAACAGATGGGAAACAATGTGAGCAGCTGTGTTCAGGCTTTTAAAAATAATAGTAGTATTACTACTGCAGCACTGTCTGCAACACTTCCTGCTAAAACTAACCATTAAACATTGAAACTGCAAGGCAAAAATAACCATATCTGTAATAATACATTATATATATATATACATTATATATATATACACATTATATAAAAGCAGAAATACAACCCATCCCCACATCCGATCTGAAATGAATGGGAACCAGTAGCACAACGCTCAGCTGACTCACCTCACAGGATTTCGGTGAGCGCTCACAAAACAACTCAATTTTAATTTCTCCTAGATCTGTGTGTAGGGTAACAGCCTGCAAACATTACAGAAGAAACACATTATTGTTAGTTAATATTAGTTTCCGACTTAGCTTAGCTTGTTGCTCAGATAGCAAACATGAGCTAGGTTCCTTTGTGGACCGGCTGCGAACAAACGTATCCGTGTTACACAACCGTAAAAGTTCATAGCGTGTTAAAACCTTTTTGGACTTACTTGTTGACAAATAGCTACTAGAAATATTAACAATATAGTTTACCATTTCAAACGTCGCGTCTGTGGACAAGCGTGTCTGAGAAACACGTCCGTCTAGGAACAGTAGTCCAGTGCTGAATGGTTCCGGAAGGAATTTACAGTCGTACATGGCAACACCAAAGTGACATAGGTCTGTGTATTTGTTCCCATTATACTGTGCCAATCATTCAGTTATTTACAAATATCGTGGAGTATATATATATATATATATATATATATATATATATATATATATATATATATATATATATATATATATATGTGTGTGTGTGTACACAAGAACAGCAGTAAATGAGAATTTCCACCTGAGATATTGTTGAGACACGGACAGATTAACCTGCTACGAGTCCCTGGACAGTTCATTTTCCATTCTCTGTGCAATGTGTACCATCTTTAAAATGTTTTTTTTTTTTTTTTTTTTTTCCTGCTACAGTATTACCAGATTTGGGTAATTTCATTAAATCCATTAATGTAAACATCAACATCAGGTAGTAAAGCAACTTAAAGGTCCTCATCATGTCAGTTGTTATTGTGCTATAGTGATGCAGAAAAAATATACTTTAACAATGGCAGCAGTTCAATTGTCGGTGGCCTTGTTTAAAGATTGTCCTATAACCAGCTTACCTGCTTCTGATGTTTCATTAAAGGTTCCTTCCTAATAACTTCTGAATGAATGAATGAATGAATGATTACTACCTTCACAGAGACTAATCTCTAATATAGTACCTGCGCAGTCGACAGGTTCTCTGCCCAACACCGAAATACAACATTGAAACCCAACACAAACCAAGACTAATTTGATCGACCAAGTCTATTTTATTTTATTTTACCTCTAGTGGATGGTGTGCAGGAGAGGATGGGACACATGTTCAAACAGAATACTGTCACATCATTCATGTCAATACTGATGTACTGATTTCCTTATTAATGAAATACTTTTGGCAACCAAACACTGCATGAAGCCAAATCTGTACATCACCTATAATTTGAATTTGAGTTGGGAAACATTGGGAAAAAAAAAAAAAAGAGAGAGATTTGTACCCAAACATAATTATTTTAAGAGGAGAAAGAACCAAGATGAACATCAAGGGGTGAGAAAGTCTCATGATGCCAACATACACACTCACGGATAACACTCATACACACACTTTATCTGTGCTAATCACAATGAAGACACAATTCTGAAACAACACAGCTCAGTTTATACATGGTCACTGACGAAAAACGCAGAATCAAGGTTAAACCAAGTGGTTTCTTTAAAAACACAAAACACATTTTGTTTTAAACCAGCAGTCAATATTAAATACACCAAACTAGAAAATAATGTATAGAAATGCATATAAAACTGTAACTGTATAAAACAACTGTTTAAATTAATAAAAATACCAGGTGTAATAAAAAAATAGGCAATCAACTCAAAAAAGAAGTGAGTACTAGCTGGCTTCCTGAGAAATGTATAGTTATATTGTAATAATACTAATAGCTGTCAAAATGAAAAACAGAACAGACAAAATGAAAAAAAAGGAGGGGACATGCAAAGAAAGAGAAAAAATTAACTATGGAACAAAAAGCTAATCTACTGAAACCACTTTACTAGCAACCTACACAACGTATTTTTATTACGTACTGACCATCTACTTGCGGTGCCTCACTGCAACGCTTTATAATTTGACAAAAGGATTTCTGATGTCACTCTTAATTAGATTAGTTGATTGTCTTAATCAGTGGTGTATTGCTGAGGTGCTCTGGATGTCATCTAAAATGCTCCAGTTGGGACTTAAAGGTAAAAGACCAAAATCAATATTTTCTTCTATGAGCAGTTTTTAAACTTAAAAACTAAATCTAACAGCACTTTAATCTCAAGGCTGGCAGTCATTCAGTTTGAACCTTCCCAGAAAACCTGTGTTGTATACATTAAGCTGTATACCATTATTTGCATTTACCTAAATGTAACGTGTGGGAGAGGTGCTGTAGTGCAAAAAGCATTTTCTAGGTTGAAAAATCTCTTCTAATCTACTTTTTTACCATCACCTTGGTAAAATGAACGCGACAAAAAGAATGCCCATGCACATTAGAAAACTACACTACTACTAACCTTTACATAGTTTAAATAAAAGCAATATTGCACAATATAGCATAGTTAAACATGTTACTGAAATAAATGTACATAGCTTAAACTATTCCTATGCTTTTCAACCCAGTTACTGTACTGTATATTGCTACTGTCCAAGTTTTCTTTGCAGTTAGGTTTATTAAAACATAAACTGATATTTTTTTTTGTCTCGGGAAAACATTTGAACCCCTATTGTGTGTTGTGCTGTGTCAGAGCTGTGCATTGATCTTGAATTCCACTTTTTTTTTTTAGCATCGTGCTGCTTATTGTGGCAAAACACAAGTGCAGAAAAGTCACTCTCAGGCAAAAAAGTATTCAACGCTACTTTACAAATGAACACACTTTGAAACCAGAGAAATAAACAATTAGATGAACTGACCAGAAAAGTATGGAGGCCCATTTACGGCAGGGGGAGAAAAAAAAAAAAAAAAACGGAAAGAGAAACTATGAAACCATTATGAGGGACTAAGACCAAATGTTTACGGCCCAGTGGGTGTGAACACAGGACCTGCATGCTGTGAGGTGACAAGTCAAGAAACTTCCTCATAGATCCAATTTAGAAAGTTTAAATTATAATTTTGACTTTAAGATTCATTTTTCTTGCTTTTTGTCTTGTTTTAGCCCCCTGACAAGGATGGGTTTCCATTAGTCAAGTGTATCTGGCAAACAAAACCCCTACACAAACAAACAAATCCATCACAAAATAATATTAAAAAACTAAAAACACGTTCACGTTCCCAAAATGACCTAGTGTCACTTCAATAATTAAAATCTAAACCCAAATGCTACATTTCTAGATCATTTTTACAAATAAGACTTGTAGAAACAATATTTAATCATCAAATTCACAATGTTTATGCCCTTCAGACTTTTAAACTCTACATAAGTTGTCAGCAGTGCACAGGAACATTGTTCAAGAGAGTTAAAGCTGCACTAGGGTAGAATTTAATGTAAAACTAATGTTAGCACAGCCAATGTCACAAAGTGAGGCTACAACAGAAAAGAGTGTCTCATTAATCACATCTGAGACACCATATGTATCTTTTATTTGCCCGAATTGAGAACTGGAGTCAAGTATGCTTACTTGTGAAAGGTCGACAGAAGTGATGACATGAAGCATTAGAGCAACATATAAAACAAAAAAGGACAAAACTCTCCCGTTACTCCCATTATCGTCTGGGGCTGGGTAGTCTAGTGCAGCTATACAGACATTTATCTGCATCAAAACATGGTCAACAGTACGATCATTTGTTCTCCACAGATGCCCTAACAAAAACAACAGAACACAGATGTAGTGAATTAAAGTTAAGGCAACTGACCTGAAAGCCATGGCTCTTTTCAAAAGTGCCTCTTAAATCTTTCGTGCTAATGACAAATACATTTGTAGGAATTACAATTATTTTTTCATTAAGTGGAATGATGCTTTTTTGATTCTAAAAAAGCTTTAAGCTTTTTGGAGTAAAAGCTAAAATTTAAAATTTTATGACGATAAAGTTTAAAAAATGGCCATTTTGGACCTTATTGCAATGTTTTCTTTAACATAAAAAAACTCAGATTAAAGTACATATTCACCTTAATGGATCTAATATAGCAATTAAATAGTGTTAAATTAAGGATGGCTGTAATCTCACTTTATCAAGGTAGAAACATCATATTAATAATACAATGTTATAATAAACTGAAATGAACACGAGGTCAGGCGCTTAGAAAACAGATTTATATTGTCTGGTTCTTTTACTTGTTAGTTGCAGACAAGGACGCTCAGCTATTAGGACACACAAGTCCAGTGCTTCACATCCAAATTATACCTAGAGTTTCAGCTACGCGTTACGTTTGTTGCAGACATATTATCGATAGTTCAAGGCTGCATTTCAATGTCAATGCTGTGTGTCCTGTATAAAGTTTTAATTATGTTGCCACAGACATGACTCATCTCATTCAAAACCTTTTCAGCATTTTGTTCATTTTGTTTTGTGCAATTTAGTACAAACAAACAATGTGGATGCAGCATGACCATGAAATAGATTAGAATTCCCACTGAATAGTTTACTGGCAGTAAGGGCTGGGTATCTGCTCGCTGATAAGATTTTCCACTAATGTAATTGTATGTGGGTGATGTCTTATAATACTAGTCCACTGAGTGGCATTCAGAAGAATAATTGCTTTTTCTCAAGCATTACTGTAGGTCAAACACACAACTCTTCCCCACACTGCACTCCGCAAAACTGGCTCCACGTAAGGATGGCACCCTCTGGTCTAACACCACGTTCCACTGCTAACCAAGACTCAAGGCCAACAAAAGACAACTCCACCGCCTCTGCAGCACATGCACTACTAACAGTCTCATCAATGACCCTCTCAGGCACAAGGATCTCAGAATCCATAAACTTTCTGGACATTACTCATCATTAGTTAGTCCCTGATTTGTGATCTCACGTCATACTTTCATGATTTTTTAATCAGTTTGAAACTGAGCTCATCGCTCTACAGCAAAAGAAGAATGACCAATTTATGTCGGTTAATGAGACAACAGGACTGTGCAGTTTGGGGTATTTGTCATTCTGTATTTACAAAGACGACATTTGGTGACATAACCATAGGATTTGTCAAATATTGAGTGAACATCTGCACATTTCTTCCTGAAGAAAATAAATTAATAAAGACAGAGTTACTCTTGTCTGTCATGCTTTCATGATTAATTCCTTTGCATATTATGACTGGAAGTTAGTAGTTAAGTAAAAATAATAATAAATAAGCAAGCAAATGGTGGTTGCAGTTACACGATCCATACACAGGAATTAAGAAGGAGACATCTTAGAGACAACATTGCTACCTCGTTTGTAAAACTGAACAATAGTGAACTGATTATTTGATCTTGATTAGAACGGATGTTATAGTAATTGTGAAAAGTGGACATTTTTCTTCTTTCTTTCTTTTTCTGTCTTTAGCAAAGATGGCCCACAGTTCTGCATACTTTAACTTCTCCACCATAACTTAGAAGCATGAAATGT